TCCTAATGGGCAAGGACCTCTGTCAGAGGCAGAACTGGTTGTGAAGAACCCAGCATGTACAGATGGTGAATGTTCACCTGGTAGGAAGAACAGGGAGTCAGAAAAGAGTGACCTACCTGTGAGGTCTCCTTCTTGGTTAAAGCAGCACTGTGTAGGAACATCTTTGCCATTTGTCGCAACTACATCAGGGAGAGGTTTTTATGGGGTAGTCAGCACCCCCTTTCTTTTTGCTGTGAAGTTTGTGAGTTTGTCATTGAGTCTTTATTCCAGAGTATCAAGACAATTTGCATTACCCCACAAAGGATAGCTTTCATCTGTGATATTGTTAGTTTCTATAAGCTCCCAGCTTCCTCATCTGTAAAAAATAGCCTCGACCTCAAATGGCAGTTGTGATTGATGGGTTTAAAAGAATCAATTCATATAGGAATTTAGCCTAGTGCTGTCATAAATATTATATATATATTGTAATTGCCACTTGGTTGCCACTATTTTTTGTTTGTTTGTTTGTTTAATGGGATTTCTTGGTGTCCCCAGCATCGATTTATTAATTTATAGGGTTTTCAGAACCAAGTGGTTAGGGAGCTATTAAAATCATTCTCTCCCAGAGCCTGCAGGTTAGAACAGGAACATTTCAAGTCATTGAAATTGCCAGGTAGGTACTCACACTCCTATAAACTCAGTCTTTACAAATTTATATGCAAATCCTCACTACAGGAGAACATAGCGCTAATACCTACAGGGAAGTCCCATTGACTTAGTTCTAATTCCAGGTTAGAAATCTTAACATCCACCCCAAATCCCAGGCTCCCCAGTCCATTCTGTTCAATAGTTCACCAGAGTTTTGTAGAAGTAGGTCTTTCCCCAAAGATGATATAGAAAGAATCCTGGCAACATTAAAGGAAATGACATTATTTGAGGACCTGGTTTGTTATACATCATTTCACTTAAAGGCACAGTTTCTGAAAATCCATTGACAATATTAGGTGAAGACTTACTGTAAAATTAAACTAAAAAATTAAATAGGTAATCAGAGATTGGAATAATTAACATTTTTAAATGGCATCCTACCAAAAGCAGATTCCTTGTAATCACTTTCAAAATCTTAATGGTGGGTCTCTGGTAGTGCAAGGGGTTAAGTGCAGCACTATGAAGCTATCCACAGCCACTGCAACACAAATTCAACCCCTGGCCAGGGAGGTGACCCACATGGCACAGCAGTCCTCTCTTGTCTTGCCTGCTGCTCCCCTCAGCAATGTATTTCAGTCAATCTGCCTGTTCTGCTCCCCACTTTGTATCTGGTGAATCCTCTCACCCCCCACACCTCTGGCCTGTTCCCCAGTTCTGTATGTATAAATAAATAAATCTTTAAAAAAAAATCCTAATGGCATATTTTGTAGAAATAGTGCAAAAATTCCTAAAATTTGTATGGAATCATAAAAGAGCCCAACAGCCAATGCAATTCCAAATAAAAAAGAACCAAAATAGAGGTATCATACTCTCTAATGTCAAACTATACTATACAGCCATAGTAATCAAAATAGCATGGTATTTGAATTAAACACACACCCACAGCTCAATGGGAAAGAATTGAGCTCCCAGAAACAAACCCACGTGTATATGGAGAATATCTCTTTAATAAATGGTGTTGGTAAAACTGCACAACCATATACAAAAAAATCTTTATGGATTCAATTCAAATGATAAGGGAAATAAGTGGGACTACATCAAACTAAAAAGTTCTATACAGAAAAAAATAATCATCATCAAAATGAAAAGGCAACGTACTGAAAGGGAGAAAATATTTGCAAATCATAAATCCAAGAAAAAGTTAATATACAGAATATGTAAAGATTCATACAATGACAATCAGTAAAATAAAAAGTGGGCAGAGGACCCAAATATACAGTTCTCCTAAGAAGATATACAGATAGCCAACAAGCACATGAAAATATACTTATATCATTTTATAAGTAGAGAAATGTAAATCAAAATCACAATGAGCTATCACCTCATACCTTTGGACTAGTAGCTATTACCAAAAAGGCAAAAACATCAAGTATTGGTGAGGAAGTAGAGAAAAGGGAGCCCTCACACACTGTAGGAATATATATTGGTGTAGCCACTACAAAAAACAATATGAAGGTTCCTTAAAAAATTAAGAATCAAAAAAAAATTAAGAATCTACAAATGTCGATTTTTAAAGAAATATAAATCAAAAGTAATATATACGTTTAAGGTAATCTCTATCAAAATACAATTGAACAAAAATATTAAAATTTATATGGAACCATAAAAGAGGGTAGGTAAATGAGTAAAAGTGGTCTAGTGTGTGGTGACAGATGGAAACTAGACTTTTGGTGATCATGATGTAGTTTATACAGATGTAGAATTATAATGTGTGCTCAAAACATGTAGTGTAATCAATCAATATTACTTCAATAAAATTGTATTTAAAAATAAACAAAACCTACTCCTGGGTCATAGCCCCTCCAGCCTAGGTCTGTGGGTCACTGTTCTTGCTCCGCATCTGTGACTCAGATCCTCTTTCAAGAAAAGTTCTTTTTTTGGTTCAGGAGGTTTTGTTTTTTTTTCCTTGTGGATTTTTCTTCGGCATTCAAAAAGGTAAATACCTGCCATTTGCAGCAACATGAATGGAGCTGGAAGGGATTGTGCTCAGTGAAATAAGCCAGAAAGAAAAAGAAAAACAGCAGATGCTTTCACTTTTAGGAGGAATGTAGGGGAAACAAATTAGCAATCGGGGGGGGGGGAATAATTATAATACATAAAAAAACAAAATCAACAGGCAACTATAAACCAGAGACACTCGGCACGGAGGGGGTGGGAGAGGCACAAGGGACTGTGGTGATGGTGCACAGGTGAACTGGTGGTGGGAATTTCATGGAGGCTACACCTGAGGGCAGAAAGCATACCTTGTACAAAAAAGAAAGAATGATGTAAAATATATATAAAAGTCTTTAAAAAGAAAAAGACTGAAAGAAAAGAAAAGTCATCTCGCTGGAGATCCTCCCTCTCCTGCTCTGCTCCTCCTCTGCCAGGGTCCTGCTTTCTTCTCCCTGGGTCTGCAGGAAACCCTGCTTGGCACTTTCCCTCCGCCCTGGCCCCCCTCAGCTTCCTTACTTACCAAAGACAGCAAACCCTTTCACCCTGCGGAAGCTAAAACTCTCAAATCTCTTTTACCCTTTCAGGATTAAGGACTAAACCAAAAGCCAAATTTGATCACAAATCTAATCTGTGCCATTTACCTCCCCATCACAGTTTGGCAGGCAGAGTGAGGAAAGAGAGAGTGCCCAGACTTGGGGGTGTGGGTGGTGTCAGCAGGCCTGGCTGTGAATTTCTCGCTACTCTCTAACTGCAGGTAGGTGACCATTTATGCAAGGATTAGATGAGAAAATGTATATTACACATAAAATAGCCCTTGACAGAAAAGTGAGTGCCTGAATCTAAATTCAAACTGAAAACAAAACACCTTTAAGATATTAATAGATAACAATTGCGCTTTGGGGTAAAGAGAGCCAGTGAAAGACTTTTCCATACAGCAGCATTAAAAACAGTCTTAAATGCTCTGTCTGGCATCCCAAGTTGTAGCCTTAAGCAGCAACTTTATCAGCATCTCTTGTTATCATACATCTTAAACCCATACAGGACCTGTCCCTTTAACATTAAAATGATTATATTTTTGTCAATATTGAGCAAAATATAGAAAATACCCTGTGTTTATCCTGTGGTCCCAAGAACCCTTCTGGCACCTGAAATCTAGCAGCCCAGGAGCACAGGGCTGGGGCAATCACAAATACAAGGCCCCTTGAGCTGACCCTGACAAGTAGCAGGCCTTCTGGGACCCCTCATCTCCTTTCATTTTTCCTTGTTCCTCAAAGATCTTTTAATTTAAAAGAGAAGGTGACAGATTGGCTACTGAATCAAAGGTAAACTCTTAAAAAAAAAATACTTTAGCTGTCATTGTCATGTGAGGAGGGGAAAAACGAAACTTGAAATCCTATCTGTAATGTTTGGTGCAAGGCTGATGGGGGAAGTCCCTGTGGGAAGGAAGCTCTCCGGAGAAGGAAATGGTGATCAAACATTTTCGTTACAAGACACTCACCCCACACAAAGGCACCTGTGTAAGTAAGTCTATTGAGAAGAATCAACAGACTTGCGTGGAGGGGAAAATGCCTGCATTCAAAAAGGTCACCACTTCCTTTTGGCTAGAACATGGGAGAACCACTTGCACTCACCCCAGAATTGGTGGTAAAGTGTGCAGTTTAGCATAGGAGAGATGGAAGAAACCACATCAGCCTTTAACCAAAACCCCCCTAAGTAGTAGTAGTTCCAGCTATGATACCCCCTTGGGTGGGTATTACCCTCTGAGACCACACACGTGCTCATGGACATTCTGTTATGTCCTTACAGTCCTCCAGTGGAGGCCAGTGTGGTTGGAAATGAGGACATCAGGCTCCACAATTCAGCGGCCCTGGCCCTACTTCAGAATGTGCGCCGCGGGCTGGCCCACCCAGTTGAATGCCGGCAGCACTATTTGAACTAGAAGCTAACAAAGCAAAGCACAGCCTGTGTCTCCTGCTGATCGAGCGTGTTTTTCTTTCTCTCATCCTCAAAAATTCCGAATACACACATTTGGTTTAAAAATAACCTTTCTTTTTAGGAACTGCCAAATGTATTTCATGCCATGTACACGTTTGCTGTCTTTATTCCCCCAAGAGCTGTCATAGTAACGATAATAATGAGTGCTCAGGAATCAAGCTGGTCCGTTACGCCTCGTTCTCCAGGCAAGAGGCACCTGTGAGGGAAGCAGACCTGATCTTACACCTTTGCTTCCAATTGCAAAGGCTGGGGGGTGGAAGTGGGGGGCCCTTTTGGGCTTGCCCCGTTGGGCTTTGGGTTCCTCCGGCCCCGTCTTCGCTGGAGATTTGGGAGAATGAGACCTGAGGAGCCTAGAGCAATGCTGATGCTCTTTTCTTCCCCAGCTGCCACTCTGGCTATGTCGGTGCCCGCTGTGAGCACGCTGACCTCCTGGCCGTGGTGGCCGCCAGCCAGAAGAAGCAGGCCATCACCGCCTTGGTGGTGGTCTCCATCGTGGCCTTGGCTGTCCTCATCATCGCATGTGTGCTAATACAGTGAGTAGTTGCTGCCCTGGAGGTCCTGCCTGGCCAGGGGCATCTGTGCCAGGCCCCGATAACAGGGTGCCCTCAGCATTTTATTGCTGGGATGTCTGGTTGCCATTGGCAAATCCACACAGAGCTTGATGACAGCCAAGCTGTGCAAAGGGCGTGCCCCAGCGTAGGTCCCTGTGCTGCGGGAGCCAGTGCAGAATCCAGGTGTAGAGCAGACACTGTGGTCTGTTAGTGCAGAACCTTGAGAATTGTGAAGGGCATGGGAAAAGGCTCCACCCTTCTTTGGGCACTAGCAGAAGCAGCAGATACTTTGCAAATTAGAATGTCATTGTGAAAGGCACTGTCGTGCTTAGGACAGGCTGAAGACAGTCCTGCTCCTTTCTCTACTTCTCTGCCCCTCCTAATCCCGCAAAATTCAGTTTCTGCCTTGCATCTTTCAGAAGGCTTCCTGAGCCCTAGACCAGCTGAGACCCATTTTGAGCATTTTGAACCCTATTGGCTTGCTTCTAGCCCCAACTACACTGCTCTGCAAAGGGTGAGGACCCGGGGCCATTGTCCGAATATCTGGCCAGATTTATTTCTTGGTAATATTTGAAAGCATCTAGGTCTCAGAGCACACCCTTAGGAAATGCATGCCTGGGTATAAATTGAACATGCATAAAAAAATCTCAGAACTGCTAAAGTCTGCGCAGATTAACTGATGGAACAGACAGCAAGTAAAGGGGCTGATTTGGCAAGGGTTGGAGTAAGCAGTTGCATGTCAATGCAGGAAGCCAGACATTAACTCCCTGAGCTTGCCTGGGATTTGGACAGAGATAAATGAATCTTTGTCCTGTCTACTGGTTTGTTGCTATTGGGGTACCTGGAGCTCACACTTCTAGTTCTGGTCCCTAGGAACCCCAGCTTGTTGACAGTAGCCAGGCCTCAACATAGCCTCCTCCTGGACCAAGTTTGCATTGGTGGGGAGGGATGAGAGCTGAACTGGGCTGGCCTTTCCTTCCTCTCTAAGCAGTTTCGCTTCCACTGCCACCTATCTTAGGAAAACATGTTTGCAGGTAGAGGACAAGTACCCGTGGTTTGGGCTGGGGCCTTGCCAGCCCTGCCACACAGGAGAACCCTCCCTGGGGTGTAGGAACAACCTAATGGGCCACTGGCCATGATTCTCATGGCCAGATAGTTGTGCGTGCTCACCTGTCACTTCCGTGGCCCTGTTTCTGTGGTCAGGAGGATCCTTTAGGAAAAAGACTAGGTGCCCACATGGGTCTCTGCAGAGGGATTGAAAAGTTGGTTTTTCCAAGTTCTCTGAACCAGTCTAGGATCCCTAGACAACTTCTCTCATTGCCGGGAAAGTAACCAGTCCTACCTCGTCTCTGTCCTTTCTCAGCCCATCCTTGCCAGAGACCAAACTCAGAAACCTGATATAAGTTCTCACCCCCACCAGGCAGCTGATTCCCTGGGCCTGAAGTCCTAGAGACTTCCTAGGTTGCAGAGGTGGGAGGGACCACCTTATCCCATGCCAGAAAGTTCTAGAGTCATTGATTCTACTGCCCCAGGATGATTCTGACTGACTAGGATCAGAAGTCACAAGGCTAGATTGAAAGCCTCCAGATCCTTCAGCCTGGGATGAGCTGGTCACAACCTGGACTCTGCAACTCAGCAGGGTCCTACGGCCAGGAAGTCTGTGCTGGCCTCTCATGGTCACCTGTGACAGAAGCCCGAAGGTCTCTTTGGCCCTGCTCAGCTCTTCCCCAGTCACCTTCCCAGGGCTATGCCAAGAGAGGGGTTTGGGGTGAGGCTCTTGACATGCCAACTGGCACCAAGAGGAAGCACAGAACAGGTTTGTTTCCTCACCTCTGTTTTCAGGCGCATATCAGTCAAAGACTCCTCCTCGCCCCAGCCAGTGGTTGCCTAGAGTCTATGTACACTGAAGTTAGAATTAAAAATGAAGTTCGCCATGACATCACAAAGTAAAGTAACCAGTGTCTCTAGGTGATTTTTGTCTTGCTCAGTGCCTTCTCGGCCCTATTTTTGGGTTCCCTGTTTCTTTTCTCATGCTAACTCTACAAGCAGGAGCATTCATAACCCTGGTGTGTTACCCAGACTCTGGGTATCACAGGTTCACCAAGAGGTTGGGCTTGCCACAACTGGAGAATGTTAGTTCTCAGAGATCCAGTCAATGCCACTGAGATGCAAGCCTCATTCTCTTCATGGGTCAATTCAGCTCATCCATGATCCCTTTTTATGCTGACATAAAACAGTGACCCCCCCTTACTCCACGCAAGTAGTCCCAGCCCTTCCAGCCTGAAGTTCCAATCCTGACAGCTGTTCTGAGGCCGTTACCATATTTATGGTGGAGGAGGCAGCAGCCAGGTGTGTGGCCAGGTTGCCCTGGAAGGCAGGAGTAGCACTGAACACGCACAGCTAGTCCTTTGGGATAGCCAATAGGTGTTTTGTTGCTAGCTGATATCTGCCCCAAGGCCACCCCCTAAGAATCCCTTCACACCCTACTGTGTCTGTCCCTCCAGAGGCCCCCATGGGAAGATTGGTTTAGGACCCAAAGCTGCCCAGCGGGTCTCTTGGGTAGACACCACCCCGCAACTGGGTACTCCCGCTAGACTCTTGCCCAGGCCACCTTCTCTGTGTCTACACAGCTGCTGCCAGGTCCGGAAACACTGTGACTGGTGTCGAGCCCTCATCTGCAGGCAGGAGAAGCCCAGTGCCCTCCTGAAGGGAAGGACTGCTTGCTGCCACTCAGAAACAGGTAAGGATCACGTCGAAGAAAGACCTCCTCTTCCTTAGGAGATGAAGAAATGACTCCTCCAGATCAGGGTGGATAAAGTAGGAAGGGAGTAAAGAAAGCAGATATTTTCCCCAAGATGTGTTTTACTGAGAAGGGAGCATTTATTCTTACTGTGACTGACTCTGCGACCTTTCACAGGCTACTTAACCTCTCTGAGCTTCCGTTTTGTATTTAAAAGAAATGCAAATTGACACAAAATGCCTGGTATAGTAAGCATCACAGAATTGCAGCAGAGATTCTTCCTTTTCCCTTGAGTAAGTTACCTGTGACCTTCAGAAGGTCTGTAAAGACTCTAAACTCATTGATCCCATGACCTTCATTTCTGTTTTGTAAATATTTTTACCAAGATCTAAAAGCTTTAAACACCTGGCTCTCAGCGCCAAACCCAACCTCAGCACCCCTCATCTGAGCTCACTGGTTTGGTTGACATGGAGTCAAATATTAGGTTGTCAGAAAAGTCACGATGTATTTTATTTTTTTCTATACAAAAATATGTCATGACTTTTCCAGCAACCCAATAGTTCCTTTATTTATTCCAGACAAGCTCTGAAAATTCTCACATCAACAAGATGTTCTGGAATATTATTTTGGCCAGTGGAGGCCATCTTAAATTTAACGCTTCCTTTTCAGGAAGTAGTGGTGAAGGGGATACTCACCACAGGCTAATCTACCTGGAGGTGTCCTCCTCTAGTAAATAGTTGAGATTCCGGAAGCTCAAGGGTATACATGGAAATGACAGGAAGAAATGTGCCTGGGAACTTGAACCCTGACATGTTCACTAAAACGCTGTGGTAATCCGACCTGGTGTGAACCCAGGCCCAGAACTACATGTATTTGTTCTTCTGCATAATTGTGCATGAGCAGGTCCTTTGATTTAGGAAGCCCACAACTCCTGAGGATGCTAATCCGTTAATCCTCTAATGGTTTAAAAGGATGAGGGTTTGTGAGTGGCATGGGTAAGCTGAGTCTGTGGAAGGTGGCATGAGCCCCTCCCAGTGAGTCAGTGGGGGAGCTAAGATCAACCCCAGGGCTGGTGAATGCCTGGCTCACCTCTCCCTCCCACTCTCTTGGGGGATTATCTGTTGAGCCAACGAAGGCAAATATTTTTGTTTTGTGTTTTAATACCAATAGAAAAATTATTTAAATTTTCTAAGTTATAGTAGATTTTGTACCATCAGTCAGCAGCATCCTTTAGGATAGAGTGAGTTTCTTGTTAAAGCCACTCCTCTACCGCATTTGAGAGGGTGTTACTTTTGAGCCTGGGGCAACTCTGTTGCTAAAGTCCCTCTCCCTGAGACAACACAGACCTACATGACCTCATGTCACACCCACCAGGCTTGCTGGGCCTAAAAGGTGGGTGAATCAAGGGTGCTGCAGTAGAACCATCATGATTCACCCCCGGCCAGGGTGCTCCTTTCCAGCTCCAGAGAAATTAGGGGAGGGCCCAGAGTAGCTAGGCTCTGCTGGACTCACCAAGACAGCCACAGAAGATGCCCTGGGCCCCACCCCTTGAGAGACAAATGGCTTCTTTCTTGTGTGCCCTTAAGAGGAGCCGTTCTGCCACTTGCGCTAGGGGCCAGCTCCTGAACTGCCCACCCAGCCACCTACTGGGGGGACAGGCAGCAGGCTGGGGTGAATCACCTCCACTTGAATGAAGGCCCTCACACTGGTGTGCTTGCCCTGCTCTCATTGCCCTTTCCATCAGTCTTTCCTCTGGTGCTGAAAGCACAGTTTCAGAAGTCGCCATCCCTAAGGTTGAACCAGCAGAATATGGACATGTTTGGGAGAGCCTGGTGACACTGGATGAGGCATCCCCAGGTTTCTGTCCCAAGCCTGTTCCCCAGCATGACTGAGGTCTGGCCTACAGAGCTTACCCTATTTTTCCTTCCTTCCAGTGGTCTGAAGAGCATGGAGAAGGAGCTCGGTCAGGCAGATGCACAGCCTGATGAAGACAGGACTTTGGGCTGGCCCCGGATCCCCGGGCCGGGCCAGCGGGCTTTTCCTCCTCTGCCTGCCACCAGCTGCCCAGCCTTTTCATCTGTTGTGGGCCTTCCTTCAAAACTGTCATGGACTCTGTCTGCTTGGGGTTATTTGGTGTGACCTAAGAAGAAATCAGTGGGCCACAATGTAAAGACTGGTCCCAAAAGAAGTGCAGAGGGTGGACTTCCTGTTTACTTAGCTAAGGTGTGCACAGCAATTGGCATCTGTGTGCAGATGTGTGTAGTTGTCTCCTGCCTGTCACAGATGCCAAGCTGTGTTTCTCTCCAGTGGCCCCATCTCCCCACTACAGTATCCATCCTGCCCAGCCAGAAACTCCTATAGTTGTTACATTTGTTTCCCATCCTCTTATTGGGGAAGAAGGTGGAGAAGAGGTCACTGTTACTGTTACATGAAGTCTTCAAGTGGGAGAGGAATGTGTCTGACTGTCCACAGACCCTCAACCAGCGGACACCTTCCACAGACACACGATGCTGAAGACCTTCTCATGCACTCGCCACCCTCAGAGATAACTTCTTATTTATTAGATGGATGATGGTTTATTTTTAATCTCTTAAGTCAGTGTAAAAAGCATAAAACCCTTTCGGACTTCTATGTTAGTGATGTATGTATTGCTGGTTGTAAAGTGTCTGTCCTCTTCAGGACAGCTAAGGCTTGGGAAGAGTCCCCCAGGGGTACAGAGATGGCAGCAGAGAATGCATGGCTGAAAGGAACAAAGATTGGGGTTCAGAGATTGCCAATTTAGACATGAAGCAGGGAAATGTCCCTGGCCACATTCCGGTGGAAAAGTCAATAAGTCCTGGGATGTGTCACCTCTGTTGGGGGAGAGAGAAAGCAAGTGGCCAGGTGTGTGTCCACATGGGATGAACACCACACTTACTATACTGCCCCATGACTAAACGGATTCACTTCCTAGGGAGCCCCCCGAGAGGACACTTAGAAACAACATGAGCAGAGAGCCACGGGCATCTGGGGCCATCCAGGCATTTATTTTCCATGTCGTTGCTAGGTTTAATTTGTTGCTTTATTTTTAAAGGGAGAAATTTTAACTTTCCTATTTATTTTCAGGCACTAAGAGAAATATTCCAGTGACTTTTAAATTTTCCATTCGGGATGCTGGTTTTATGAACAAAAACTCTTAATAAGCCTCCTCCACTGTGTGGGGTCTCCCTTTCCCCTCAGGAGGAGAAATTGCCCTGCTGAGACTCGGTACATTCTGACCCACTGGGCCTGCTTGTAGGAAGCACTGGTTCCCTCTGACAAAACAGTTTCTAAACTCCCTAGAAAATTTCATTAAAACCTGGAAACAGAATAACAAAGAAGTAATCTCTAAGATCCATATGTGAGGGAACTGTTTAGCCATTGAGGCTTGAGAAATGAGATTTCTGCCTTTTTATCCTTCAGTGCATCTAGCTCACGTTGTCAAAGGGACCTTTAAAAATGTCATGTTGGCTTGAAATGTCAGGTAATTTTGTCCTCCGCTAATGCTTCTTCCCCTGTCTATTTCAACGAATTTCCTCTGTATTTCTTATAATTGAGACAACTATATGACCCTTGTCTCAATTTCGGCACTTTCATTGAATGATGCCGCGATGAAGCATTAAGTTCAGAAATGGGGTCTGTTCACCAGCTGGGCCCTAGCAAGGTAATTGACACAGCTCCCAGGTTTTCATTATAAAAGAAAATAGATTTTAATTTGCATTCCTAGGCCAGTCCTGCAGCAGCAGAAGCTTAACCGTAGCATCTTGCTCAGAGTCCAGTGCTATCAACGCTGGCTTGCAGTCCCCAGCTTGCATTCACCTCTGAAAGTCCAAGAGTCTGGTTTTGGGAGACTAACGAAAGTGAAGTTATGTCACTTTTTTTTAACTTGAAGGACACATTTTCATTTTACGGCAAATCTCTCCCCAGTCTTTCGGAGACTATTTGAGGTCAGATAAGCTGTAAAGAGCATAATCTGGTATGAAAATGTTTTCTGGATTTTTATACCAAATTGATGGCAGGACTGGACCAATGTCCAGTCTTTAGATATCTAAGGTTCCTTGTAGAGGTGTGAGGAGAGAAGGATGGAAGCAAAAGAGAGCTTTGAGCTTTTGGTTTCTCATAGGGACTTCAGATGTAGTGTCCATAAATGCTCTGGTCCAGCAGATCACAGCTGCCAGTGTACCCTTTTTTATGCCTGTACAACCACACAGTGAACTGGCTTGAATGTGTAGCTCCCTAGAAGTGCCTCCCATTCGGTCCTCTATATCCCAGCTAGTCTGAAAAGAGTTGGAAGGGAAGGCCGGGGTCAAGGCAGGGGTCACCCCAGCGTGTGAAAGCCAGCATGACAGATGGCAAACAGCACTGGATTCCAGTACCATTTTATGGCACTGGTAATTTTCTGGTTCACTGTAAAAAGAAGCCCTGTGGGGTTGAAAATGCATCTTCCAACCCACCTCTTGGCAGTGCCTGGGTTTCCTTGCCCTTAGCCAACCAAGATTGATGATCAGGGAATTATTCCCAAGGCTTGGGAAGCATTTCCACCCTGGGCATGGCGACAGAGCTGTTTCTGATGTATCTCAGGAGAAATGAAGAACCCCCATTTTTAAAAAGGGGGTGTGTACTTCCACATTTTTTATGGAGCATGGATTCTCAAGCTTCTCTGCAGGCTGTGACCTCTTCGAGCACACTGGCAAAGACGTTTTCTTCTTTATGGAAGGACAGACACAGCTAACCCTGAAAGATGCATCTGGACACATGCAGAACCTAGCAGACAGGAGCCTGTCATTGTGCCTCAGCAGGGGAGATGGGCAGGGTGTCCCCAGAGTCCGTTTTCAAGGAAAGAAGAGGTGGGATCGCATCACACTGGTGATGGAGAAGAAGTTGTGGTTCTAGAACTTCTTGAGAGACTGTTCTCTGCAGGTGGAGAGAAGTGGCTGTCAACTTAGGGTTTTCCAGCGTCTGCTGGTCCCGGTGCACTGGGGCCCACTGACTGCAGTCCCAGTTGTGGCAAGAATGGATTAAGGAGGCTCCAGCATGGCTCTGAGGGCCCCAACCCCTTTTGTAGACGCCCAGGCTTTGATTTCCCGCCCCCTGCTCAGGGGATGGGAGATGATTCGAAAGCCCAGGACCAGTGGGACATCATAAATCAGACAAACACGTTTGTTTTTAATGTTCTCTCTAGCCACTGATTTTACCCCACTTTCTGAAAGATCTGGTGGTAAACACATACACACAATACTGAAAAAGCAAACCCTCTTTCTGGTGTAATAACTTACTGAAGTGTTCTATTTCCATTATCTTTATTATAACAAACCTGATGCTTTTTTTTTTTTAGAACTCGTAACTCTGACTTCTGTATATGTTGCACTGAAAAGGTTAATATTTAATGTTTTAATTTATTTTGTGTGGTAAGTTAATTTTGATTTCTGTAATGCATTAATGTGATTAGCAGTTCTTTTCCTTAATATCTGAATTATACTTATTTAAAAAGTAGTACGCAATATAAAATACAGTTGTGTTTTACAATAATGTGCATTGTTGTTCAGTTGTACTGTACCTTGTTGAAAGGATGAAGGAATGAACTTTTTTTCCTAAATCAAGACTACAGCTTTTTTTTTATATATAAGACTAAGGATCTGCTGAACCATAGTAAGGTTTTTCTCTGCAAGTCTGAATGATGACAAACATAGGTGTTTATGAAAAAAGGAATTCTAAAATTGAGCTCCTAGTGGTCCCTATCTTCATGAAGAAACCGAATTCTTTGAAATGCTTCCCAATATTTAATTATTTCATCTACTTTGCATCCAACAATATGCTGCCTATTATGGAGGAAAATACATAACACCCGATCCCTGCCCCAAAGGAATTGAGATTGGGCTGGGAAGACAGACTGCATGCACACAACAATTCTGGACTATCTAGACAAAACAGAAACCATGAAGTTGGGAGAGAATGTGTTCATAGCTGTGCTTCTCCAAATGTGGTCCCTGGCCCTGCAGCCACAGTATTGCTGGAAACCTCTTAGAAATTCAAGTTTTCAGAGCTCCATGTCACACCTACTAAACACTAGAGGTGTCTCATGTACCCTTGGCTTCCAGGTGACTGATCCACACTCAACTTCTAAAACCACTGCACTGTGGGACTCAGTGAAGGGATAAGTGATAGATGGGCTTCCTACAGTTGTCAGGAAAGGCTTTATAGAGACACAGTTCAGCCTAGTATTCAAAGTGCATATCCCTCAGAAAGCCTGGTCTTGAATTAAGGTCTCTCTGTATTTTTATCGACTCTGTACAGCCTAGCTGAAGCCAAAAATACCTGCCATCTCCTGCAACATTCCCACCCACATCCCACTGCCCACTTTCTATGTGTAAGGAATTGTTCTAAAGCTGTCAACCAAATGTTCTAGGCCTCACTGCACTCCCCATGGTTAAGCCTTTAGCCCACATGAGGCCTTCGTCTATGCAACAATCTAGAAATGCATGGAGAAGCAGCAGAGAAGGAAAGAGTTGCTGAGTGGCCTAAGAACTTGGTCCCAAGGAAGGTTCAGATCCTTGTGGCCAGGGATAACCTTGTGGAGCCTGCTCTCCAGGTCCAGATGGCCTGGGGCTGGCCACCAATTTGCAGGAAGATGGAAGCCCAGGCAATTTCTTGTGCTAAGATACCCAGCCCAGTGTCTGTCCCTGGGTAGAGTCTTTAGCTACCTCTTAGGAGAGGGAGGGAGACACCTACTGCCCATTTCAATCTTCAGGTACATTTCCAGGCCTTATTTCTACTCATTCCATTCCTTCTCTTCCTCCTGCTTCCCCAGTCCTTCTCTTGCCAAGAGTGTTTGCCTGGAAGCCAGGTGTTTTGGCTGTCCTTGGTCCTCGTCAGGCACACTGGACTCTCTGGGCTGTTGGAAGGAAGGATCTCTCCCAGGAAAAAGTACTTACAAACTCTGAACAGATAGACCTCCCTCTTCATCCAGAAGGGATGCACTTGCCACCCTGAATCCATGTCTGAACTGCTTGGGCCTATTCTTGAATGCTATTGGCCCAAACTTTAGACCCTTGTTTTGCCTGCTGGTCCTCCCTCCTGCCTGGTCCAGTTTGGGGGTTGAGTGTGACCTCATCTTACCTAATCTTCTAACTGAAAGCTCCTGGCCCTGCACCTCCCTGGAATTCAAGTACCAACAGTCATCCCCCTTTTCCACATTTGCTTTCTGCAGACTTTCTGCTTCTGACCAGCCCTGAGGTTTCTGCCACAGCCTTTCACCTCCAGAAAATGGGAGTGATGTACCCATGTCACATAAGCTGGATCTTGTTTGCCCTGCCTGTTCTACTAAGTTAGTTGTCTCTCAGCCAGGTCAACTGAATTATAAAATCTATGAGCATTCAAAAATCTCTCCCAGGGGTTCTAATCCAACCCCAGCTGAACACACCCAGCCTTGGGGAACAATGGTATGGCAGAGGATGGATACCTGGAGCTCAGAGGGACCTCGATGTGCAATGCAGACCAGCTCAGGGCACCCCTCCCCAGATGTTCACTTAGCCCTTATTAAGCAGATGCTAACCCCTGGGGTAACCGGGAGAGCTGGCCTCCTTTCAAGTGGAATCCTCTAAGTCAGAGTAGGGGGGAAACTGTGGGAACAGAAGCAGGGAAGAGGAGCCAGACAGCCAGCACCTGAAGTTATGCTCAGGTGGGTGTTGCTTTTTAGGAACCAAATCTTGCAATTGAGAATAAAATCAGGACTTTCATGATGAAACAGAAACAGGAGAGAGAAAAATGTCTCTTTCAGATATATTTACTTGATGGAAGATTTAGGCCCAAGAGTGTAAGAGCACAGGCCCCTAGGTCAACAGAACCCCCTGCTGTCATGGCCACTGTGGGAAGCCCTCTATCCTTAGTGCAGGATGGGGGGGGGGGGCATTGGGGGGGGTGAGGATGAGAGCTGAGCAAGGGAACACTCCACTAGCGGGAGCTGGTCTGCATTGCACATCGAGGTCCCTCAGATCTGGAAATGTGACATCTCAGAAGAGGAGCAGTGCCCAGTCCCAGTGCCACCCAGCACTTTGTAATAGATGCCTCCCCAAGCCCAGCTAGAGCACAGGGGTCTGGGGATGCAAGGAGGCCCAGAGACAGGCCTAGGATTCCTTGCAG